GGTGTGCGCGGCGCAGGCACCGCCCCCTGCCGGCCGCGCGCTCGCGGTCCTCCAGCCCCGCGTGCTGTGGGGCTTCCCGCCCAGCGCGCGAGGCGCCTGAGGCGGGGCTGCCGCGGGGTGAGGTGGGAAACGGGTTCTCTGCCCTGAGACATCCCTGGGAGCTCAGCATCCCTCTCCTCGTAAAATAGGTTTGTTCTTTCCGTTTTTCATTACAAATTACTTGTTGTTTGATACTGATATCCTGCATTTTCCAAGTAGCGAAGCCCAGCCGCGCTGACCCTCAGCTGCGTTCCTCACGAGCTTTCAGTACGTCGGTATTTTTTTGGTACCTCATGTTTTAGCGTCCCGAGGTCAGTCAGCTCGGAGAGGGCAGTTCCTTCCCGCCGGGGCGAGGGGCCCCTCACACCTGCTTTCAGAAGCAGCTGGCACAGCCCGTTATCAGCCCCCCAAGACAGGCCTGTATTTGCGTGCCTTAAAAAGGCATTGCCTGGCCTCTTTACTTCAACGTGGTCACACCGTATGAAAGGTGTAGTAGAACAAATTCTTGGAGGTCGGATTATTACTTGCATCACTTGTTATTCTTGGGATCATCAATAATAATATTAATCTCCTCTTTAAGATATTTTTTGACAAATGTTTATTTATTTTAATTTTGACAAGTTATTGATCATTACTAGGGAAGAAAAACATGCAAGAAACAATGACTTAAGTCATTAATTTGCCCATTTGTATAATGCAACAGCCTTGGAAAACTAGTAACACTGTTTATACATCATCTTAATGAACTTTGGTTAATGACCTTGTAAAGAGCTGAGGAGGACTCCCCGTGAGAAGAAAGCCAATATTTAGATAATTTATGTAAAACTTTTAGAAATCAACGTTTTATTTTGTCTTCTATCCTATCTTTCAATTAGAGTAAAAATTATTTTTAGCTGTATATTGTGGTGAGCTTTCCTAATCTGTGGGGTTTCATTGTGTCTTTGGCTTGGTTTGCTGTTTCAATTTTAGTCTGATTGACCCCATTATCTACAGAGAAACATCTCTGACTGATCTAGGCAATGTTTTAACCTCAGTTGTGTTAGCAATGAAGACTTGGGCCAATTTCTTTGAAATGTCCTAAAAAATGTCACATTTTGTAATTTCCCACAGAACCAACTTTACAATAAATAAAATAATGTATATTTTCTTCAAATTCTATTCACATTTTGATTAATTATCTCATTAGATTTATCGACATGCTAGTTCCTAAACTCACTAGCTGATCATTCTTAAGAGGGTAACACCCATAGTCCTGTTATTAGAGTTATCTTGTATCATTATGTCATACACCACATAGTACCTTCGGTGGAAACAAAGACCTGTTGGAGTTTACAGTTAAAAGATAAGACTGCTGAAGTGAAACTGAATTAATGATAGTTTTGTGGTCTAGGTTTTTTAGATAACAACCTTCCTTTCTATGAAAATGAGCAAAAATAGAAATCTTGGTATTTCTATCTAGGTTTAAATATACACCAGAAATTGAAAAAAAAAATTTCCATAATTTGGAAATGTATTATAAGCCATCTTTGAGCTACATATATTAATGTTCTTAGAATATTTAGTTCTGAGGTGGACACTTTCTGTAATTTGTAATTGGCTGAAATAGATTTTTCTTCAGCAGTCTACATACAGACCATTCTTCACAGGTCAAAAAATATTTCCCCTATAAAGGAAAACCTAATTATTCTTTTTCAAGGAAGCAATTGTAAAAATTAAACATGACATGCTTTTGCTGAGTTAAAAATGAACTCCAGTTAAAGAACTGATTTGGGCACTGGTCTGATGGATAGGGAACATTAGTAAGGGAAAGGTACACTGTCATCCTACGGTGGCTCTGCACAGACGATGAGACCCTGGAATTACTGACTTCTTCACCTTCAATTACCCTTAGGGGTAATTGCCATACAAATAACAGCGAGTGTGTTCGATGTTCTTTGTCTTCAGTAAACTCAGAATTAAACTTAAGCATCTATTAATGATTTCCATAGACAATCACAAAGCTAGGTTAAAGACACATGCAGTGTGTTCTTAAGTATTCTGAACAACCTTAATTTTTTTTCCCTCTACTTTTGCCTCATATATAAATAATATATGTGGTGACTATGTAGAATATCCCACTTTAATAGTTTCTAGACTTAAAGGTAATGAAATACCAATATAACACTCAAAAGTCTCATCTGATTTTGAACATTTTCTTAGATCCTTGAAAGTGTGAGGCCTACAGATGTCCTGATCATTTAATTATTTTCTTGCTAAGAAAACAATTAGATTGTTTTAGAGATGTAATCTTTGTTTTTGTTAATGAGGAATTATACAGATAAGAAAATCTCATTATATGAGAAACTTACAAAAGGGCTTAAACCACTTTCCAGGAGAGTGAATAGAATTCTAAAGATGCAAGTCCATGTCAGTGAAGATAATATAGATACTAAAAAGGCATGAATTTAAAAAATGCAGTTTAAACCTGCATCATTTGTTTTCAGGTTCCCCAAAATTTCTAATAGTAAAGGGTGGCTAAAATTAGGACAGCTTGAAAAACAGAATAAAGAAACAGTATCCTTTTTTTTTTTGTAAAACTTGTAGTGATTCTGCCAGCCCTCAGTGCTACTTAAGCAGCTATTTGGGAAGCCTGGGCAGAAAACAATACCGAAGAGCTCATCCACATAAATATGCTCCAAAGAGACCCTGCAAGGTGGGAGAATGCCTCTCATGCTTTGAGACAAAGACTGAATTACTAGAGATGCTTTCCATAGCCATTACAACTGTCAGAATATGCATGGAACTGATTTCTGATTGCTTCAGTTTTTGCAAGAATTTTTATTTAACAGATGAATGCTGCAAGTTATAACTTTATTAAGGAGCTGCAAAGGGGGTTTGTTGAGGTTTTTGGAGGAAGGAAGCAGCTTTCTTAATCATGGCTTTACTGCGTTTGCCAAAGCCATAGTGAATAATTTGGCTATTAAAAAAAGTGCCATTATGGTTTCCCCGTATTTGTAGCTTATTGGAACACGTATGTGTGCCACAGCCATTTCAGTTCACAGGGCAGTGTCTTCATGCAGGTATATCATAATTTCAGCTGCAAGTGGTTGAGATGTATGGATGTGCTTAATTTTGCTGGTTGTTCTTCAGAGTGGAGTCAAGTGAAGTGAGCAGTGCTATTGCTTGTCAGGTGACATCTGCAAAATCCTCTATTTTGTGTTTGTGCACTGACTAACGAAAGAGGATCAAGTGCTATTTGGGAACTTCAAAGTCTGTTGCGATATAAGAAGAAAGTACTTGATTTGTTCCAGTTCTGTGCTACCTTTTCCCCTTGAATGATCTATTGACAGGATTTACAAGTTATGGCAAAATTCTCCAGTATGTCTACTACATATATGTATCCTTTTCTAAATTATACTGTAGTGTTAGAGCAACAATTAATTGTTCTGCACAGTAACTTTCACAAAGAAAAGCACACTTTGTAAGTTAAATTAATTCAGCACTGGGAAGTGTCCAGTAGTTCACTGGGAACTTTTGAAAACAAGAACAAAAGAAGTGTATCATACATGGAAACTGATTTTTTTAAATCAGAAATAAATGTCTATCTTGATTAATGTCACACTTCGTCAAATTTAATTCAGTGGATTAGTTGTTGTTATTACTTGTGACTTCCTGGCAGATCTTCTACTATGGGATCTCTCTTAGTTCTCCTAGTTCTCATATTTTGTTCCCACTTCCCTTGCCAAATCTCTATTGACACTTGTTTTGTGGCTTCACCTAACAAAAGGGGGGGATATAATTTTATTCTAGAGTTACATCTTACATCTGATTATTTGCAGTTTGTTTTGTGTCAAGTTCTTCTGTACTCATATAGAAAAAGTCGTGAGCTTCTCAGATTTGTTATGAGGTAAAATGTCTGACTGTATAGTTTCACAGATGGAGTGGTGCTAGTTTCACAGTGGATGTGCTACTAAAATTAAAAAGGAACAGCATGAAAAACATTTTTTCTGTAAGCTAAGATTCTCATTGAAATGTCTGCATTTGGTATACAAAATTGGTGACTGAAAGCTTAAGGTGTTTTTAATAAATGAACTGAAGTTGTACTTCTATTTCACACATTACTGTGACTGATACACTACATTTTCCTTGGAATTATAAGAAACTGGTATTACCTTGTATCTCTCTAGAATTGCTGGTGAAGTTTGTCAGCACTTTTGAATGTAACTGCTCTCTTTACACAAACATTTTAAAGGAGAGTTTAGAGTGGAATTCTAGATTCTGCCATGAGATGTACTTATGCTACTACTGTAGATCCTAAAGAATCAAACTTAATTGCAGTAATTTACTGCTGAGCTGTGGGGTTCATATAATCAAAATATATAGACTAAGAAGAAAACCTACAGTCAGGCATATTCATCTTAACAAATGAATGTTACAATTTCAGTACCATTAATAGCTCAGTGTAAGAAAGTATTATTTCTTCTGCTGTGCCTTTTTTGATACACTCTTAATGTACCAAATCTGCCTTCCCATATTCCTTTGTGCTGTTATCAACCACTGTGAGGGAGAGAGAAAAATTATATATATTTATATATATGTATATCTATATGAAAAAAGATGTTGCTAAAATTCACATAGAATGCTACGACTTTGAATATGGCAATATATATTGGGCAGGCCTTCTAATTTTAAAATATTTTAAAGAGTTTTGGAAAAAAGTCTTGATCTAACTTTTTAGCCTTTGAAGCATTATTATGTGACCCCATTTGCGAATGTTCATAATCCTATATAAGAGATGTACAATGAGGCTCTTAAAACTCCTTGAACATCGATAAAGGAATTTAGAATCCAAGGAATCATAGTCATAGTCATGAATAATAAAACAAGAGCCTTTATATTAAAACTGATTACCTGCAAAGTCTTCTAGGAATGTTGCTGTTTAATTAACTCAACCCTAAGTCTGATATTTGATTCCTTCTGCAGCCAAATCTGCCGTTTAGATTACAAGGGAATTCAGGATTACACTTTCAGTGTCTTATTCAAAATATGCATGTATTGGAGCAGATAAATGGATGGACTGGGAAACGCATTGAAGATGCAGGTATGTTTGTACTGCACTTTGTCCTGTTTTTAACTAGAACAACCCACCTCAACTAACATTTAATAATGTATTTTTCAGTCTAAAATAGGAAATACTAAATTATTTCTAATGCCATGTTTCGATAACATTTGAATTTTAGTGGTATTCACTAAAGTAATGAAAATAGAAAGGGTTAAGGATGATTAAATGTGCCAGATTACTGCTGCCAGACAGTGTGTAATTAGGTATCTTCTCAGTACCTCACACAACACAGGGTATCACTGTAAAGTATTATTTGTAGCAGTTCTAATAGTCAGCAACTCCTTTGTTGTTTCGTTTGTCTTGTGATAATGCTTTAATACTTTCTTAATATTTATCTTAATTAACATAATTTCTAATGCTCTACTTTTGGGGAATGAAATAATTGTAGCCTTATTGAATAAATTATGTTATCTTTCTAGCACTAGTCTC